CACAATGCGCAGAATCATTTGCTGAGTATGCTAATAATTAATATGCAAACATATGTATGTACGCAATAAAAACAAGCTTTCGAGAATTGCACCGCGACGAAAGAAATCGCACAGCAACAGTAAAAACCTTTCCACGAAGAAGTCTAACTAGATTCTGAAATGCAACAGGGAGAAATGTCGTAATCACTGATTTCATTAGTCAAATATGGCATTGCCAGCCATGATGGACTCGTTTGGTACACTTAGAAAAATATTATTTTTCTTTATCGCAGAACAACACTGGCAAACACCGATGGCCTACCAACTGTCATTTTGACGAGCAATATGATTGCAAGTTTTTGTGTGTTGGCACTTTGATGTCTTGAAATAAGCATTTGCCGCATGACGCCACCAGACAAGATTCTCTCAATTTCAGTGTTTAAAAACACTTAAATCTTTAAAAAACTTGCTGAATAATTTCCTAAAACGTAATCGTAAATAATCCCATAGGGAACAGATTTTTATTTTGACTTAATATCAAAATTGCATCGATGTTACCACCAGCACCCTTTCTTTCATATGAAAATATGGCTATCAAACTATCAAATTGCCTCCAATAGCTGTCAAGCAATAAGCGCTGACATATATTACACCCCATGAGAAATAGGCGGTCTCCATTGGAAATATATTTTTTGACATGGTTATCACGACATCAGTGTTTTCCTGTGGAGACAGGACCCTAAGTAGGTCCGTCACTGCTGACAGGAGTTTCAAAGATAGGGGTACAGTTAATTGCCTGTACGATATCATAAAAAATATATTAATTGTACACGTTATGTATATCTGAAATTCTCATTTCGTGTTGGCAATAGCCATGAAAACCATAATGAACGTGCAACCCTGTGCCAAACTCGACATAACCACCTCTGAGCAAACTAAGCAGAGGCCATTTAATTTGGCAAACAAAAGTTTGTTTGGCATAACACCGACCTTAAACGGCGTTTCAACAACAACCGAATCACGTNGGCCATTTAATTTGGCAAACAAAAGTTTGTTTGGCATAACACCGACCTTAAACGGCGTTTCAACAACAACCGAATCACGTGGTACGCTCTCTCAATTACGAACGGCGAATCAACCTGTTTGCACGACACATTCGTGATGCACTTTGTTCTGCTTCTTTTAGCGGGGAAGAAAAAATTGGTAGTGGTTTCATGTTTTGAGCCTCGAGTAAAAAGTCTGAAATTTTAAGAAAAAGGCATTTGCTATGTTTTTATGCATACGGCCCTTTGTTTCGTTAGAGGTCTACGTTTTTCCTTTCAGTGTATTCACAATAGCTCAATGAACAGTGAGCCCATGATTCAATAATACAAGGTTCGATAAATTGACAGTTGTCTCTCTCGCACCGCTCCCTTAGCGGTGGCACCGTGTTGCTTCTTTGCAAATTTACATGGAAACAGTGTAGCTTTGGAGTGAAATAAAAGTATAAGCTTTTGTGCAATATGTTTATTTGTATATGCATATGAAGCATATTTAACTGATGAAAACATAAGCATTGGATGTTTATATCAATCTCATAGTAGTCTTATTTTAATTTTGAGTCATTTTGCAGTTTTTAAACAGCTAAATAGCATATAAATTACGTAATTCACGTAGATATATAAATATTACGTTCAACATTTCGTTTAAAATGCCAGATTTCCTGCAAATACTTTAGAATTTACAAAAGGAATTTCACTACTAATTGCCTACTTTGCGTACTTTTCTACTACCATTTTCGCAACAAGGGATTGCATTCTTGCCCTTTCTCTGTCCTTCGCAAATGCAACCTTTTGTAAGGGAGTGTCAAACCGCAGCTGTCAATAATTATCTAACCTTGTATTATTGAATCATGCAGTGAGCCAAGCTGTCATTACCAGATCATTACTGTCAAAGGTCTTCTTATCAGATATGTCAAAATTAGGCGGCGTTCATCGCGAAAATTGATTTCTGTGGCAACAAATAAATTTGACCTGTGCAAATTTGGATAAGATTTTCATGTTTGTTTTTGAAATACACCACGGGAATGCCATATATAAAAATCACTCAGGACATGTTCAATAACATTGAATACGATAGAGCAGTTATTGGACAAAGTGAAAAGTTAACTGGAAAGATGGCCAACGCGAGCGAGTGTACACCCACTGTTCTTATCGTTGCTGATAAAGGCGATCTTAACGCGGCAGCTTACCATTTGGCCCGATCACTGCAATACCCATTTGCGCCTGAAGTTATTGTTACTGTGCTCGTTGCTGAGTCGACTCGTCCTGCATTCCTGGAGCGGCTGCAGGCTCTGTTAAAGCCGATCCCAGCTGACGTATCTCAACATGCTGAGCGTAACAAGATTTTGGCCCTTATAGCTAAACATAATTGGGAAACCATTTCTATACCAGAGTTTGGAGCAAACTCTCCTGTAATAGTGTGTGATGTCACACATGAACATTTAGGAAATGGTTACAACGGCGTCGTGACACTTCATACATTTCGAACTATACAAGAGTCTATCAGCTTATGCGTGAAAGAATCTATAAAACCAGTAAATGCATCGATTTGGTCTAGTAATCATGCAAGCGCTTACGAAATAGGTTTGAAGATACCGTGTATCAACATCTTCATTGATTGCTATCAAGTCTCACTGGATCCATTGAAAACGACCAATGCGACTACGGGAACTGGAACCTGTGCTTTGGTGNAAGATACCGTGTATCAACATCTTCATTGATTGCTATCAAGTCTCACTGGAGCCATTGAAAACGACCAATGCGACTACGGGAACTGGAACCTGTGCTTTGGTAGAGCAGAATTACCATTACGAAACACTCAAGCTGCAGAATGGAGCTAAGAACGTGGTTTTTCCTATAGGAACAGCTATTGCAAATTAAAAAAGGCCCGTGAGTTATGCGGACTGAAACTTTTTAAAATAATTTCGTTCTTGTATACATCAATTAATTTTAAATGTTTTTATACCTGTGAATAACACGTCTTCCAAAATAATGTAATAAATAAATTAAAAATATAGCCATAGCCTTTTTCCTTTCCTCTCTGACTAACTACATATATACTGAAACATGAACATACATATATCCTTATTTTGTAAAAATATAAATAGATAAAAAATGTTTTATTGCCTGTTTTCGTTAGTCGTTTTAACTATTTGATATTTGACATCCCTCAAAGGCATTATTACTAATCCACTAAAAACATTGTGAGCTGGCAACTCTGCGGTTGAGCCAGCTGATATTGCATTTCATTTGCTTTTCTGTTTATTTAAACAAAATTACCTTGTACAATTTATTAGTTCTATTTATTAAGTGCATAAATAAAGTTAAATTCGCATTTTGCGTGCTTTGAAAGGAGCCTAGGCCGAGGAAGTGATAAGCTAAGAATGTTTCGCACAAGCAATTCACGTAGCGTTAGTAGAGCCGTTGTAGACGATTATAGTGATGCAGGCTTGGCACGCAATTATGCTGCGGAAGATTGTGCTGATGACGACATAGATTTTCACAGAGATTTTGCTCGTAATCGTAGAGCGGTAAGCGCGACCAATATATACAGTAATGAAGATAGCGATGAATTAGACACAAATGAGGGCAGTTCTGCTGATACGCCTCTAATTAGAGAAGTTGAAGGTTAGTACCTATACATGCATATATACGTACCCTATAAATGTGTACACTTTCAACAAGTATTTGTTTGCTTGTAACACAAAGCAAATGCGATTTGAAAGTGTTTTTCCCAACACTTAACCTATTCCATTGTTGTTTCAGATGATGGTACCTTTCCAAAAGCTCGGCATATTTTTGGATTTATGGGCTTCCTTGGTTTTGCCGTAGTTTACGCCATGCGCGTTAATTTGTCCGTAGCTATAGTTGCCATGGTGAACCAAACAGCCATTCCTGAAGACAATTCCACTAGTGTAGATGATACTTGCCCAGTTCCAAAGCCAACGAATAATACAACACCCACTAAGGAGGGAGAATTCGTATGGGATGAGGCCACCCAAGGTCTTGTATTGGGTTCATTTTTTTACGGATACGTGCTGACGCAAGTCCCAGGTGGTCGCCTAGCAGAGCTGATGGGAGGAAAGCTGATTTATGGCTTTGGTGTGCTTATTACAGCAATTTTTACTCTCCTAACACCAATCGCTGCGTACTGGGATTTGCCTATGTTGGTACTTGTACGAGTGTTAGAAGGCATGGGTGAAGGTGTTACCTACCCAGCCATGCATGCCATGTTGGCTCACTGGATACCACCATTAGAGCGCAACAAATTTGCAGCTATCGTATACGCAGGATCTAATATCGGCACAGTAATCTCAATGCCATTAGCAGGATGGCTGTGCTCTTTGGATTTTCTTGGAGGTTGGCCATCAGCATTTTACATATTTGGTTTGCTGGGTATAGTTTGGTTCGCATTTTGGATGTATCTGGTGTATGACAAACCAAGCGTACATCCGCGCATATCTCTCAAAGAGCGAGACTACATCGAACGGAGTTTACGTGCTATGCAGCCTCGAAATAACAGCGATTTACTATCTGAATCTGATGTGGATGTCATACACACAGCTGCTGAGGAAATACCGTGGCGTTCAATCTTCACCTCGCTACCATTGTGGGCAATTTTAATTACACAATGTGGTCAGAGTTGGGCCTTTTACACGCAACTCACAGAATTGCCCACATACATGAGCAATATACTCCATTTTGATATCCAATCAAATGCAGTACTAAACGCCATACCATACTTTACAAGCTGGATAGTGGGTATTGTATGTTCAGGATTGGCGGATTGGATGCTGGAACGGCGCTACATTTCTCAGCTAAACTCGTATAAATTATGGAATTCGATAGCTTCCATTATACCATCGATAGGACTTCTAGCCACCGCTTATGTTGGTTGCAGTTGGATTTGGGTTACCGTGATGCTGGCCGGTGTTGGTTCCTTTGGCGGCGCTGTGTACGCTGGTAATCAAATGAATCACATCGCTTTAAGTCCCCGTTACGCAGGCACTATGTATGGTCTTACGAATTCTGCTGCAAACATATGTGGATTCTTAGCGCCCTATGTGATAGGGCTTATCATAAATCATCATGAAACCTTGGCACAATGGCGTATTGTATTCTGGCTGGCTGCGGCAGTAAATATTGGTGGTAATTTCATGTATTTAATATTTGCCAGCGCCACAGAACAGAGTTGGTCCCGTATTCCACATCTAGCTGCAGTAAGCCATGTGCGCTCTTAAAAAGCCGATTTGGGCCCGGAAATTCACAACAGTGGAAATATTAAACGAATGGATGCTATTATATCCGAATACCTATGTATGTACGCAAACGTGTGATAATTTAGTGTTTCTATTTTGAACAATGGAATTGAATGATGTATGTTGTACGTATGTATGTACATACATACATACATACATATATCATAAGCTAGTGCGAGCAAGCATTTAGGTAAAAACTCCTAAAAGTATTTTAAATAATTACCAATTGAATGTATGCATTCCTATAATCATGTATGTATGTATGTACATACATCCATATACAAATATGTATGTTCGTATGTTACAAATGTAAACTTTGTGGTGCAATTTTACTCAATATTTTTTCAGTAGTATGTATGTAGACATTTTAAACGAGAACATTATTTATTCTGTTAATAAAGTGCATTTTTTATACAAATATGAGTCTATATCGATGGCTGAGTGGAAGATCGGCCCATCTCGGCGGCCAGTTCGAAAACGTCATATTTTAAAAGCTTTTCAAAAACGCCCTTCTTCAGAATTTGAGTTAAGAATGCCCTATTTCAGAAATGTGGTTGAAGAACGCCCTATCTCAGCTGCCGATACAAAAACGCCCTTCTCAGCACATTGTCAATGTGTTTTTAGCTGAGATAGGGAGTTTTTGAGCCGAATTCTGAGATAAGGCGTTCTTCAACCATATTCTAAGATAGAGTGTTTCTATCGTTCCCACGACAGCCGGGTCTACGTAATTGGAATGACCCAGGTTTATATCTGGTCAAGGACTGTCACTCCAACAACACTCGCCAAAAACTTTGGGGAATCTGTATGCTGTTACAACAAAATCATCATAGGGTGTTTCTCAATTAGGGCGTTTTTGAAAAGTTTTCTGCGATAGGGCGTTTTCGAACTGGCTGCCGAGATAGGTCGATCTTCCACTCAGGTGGCCACATATTCTTTGAGAACGTTTTTAGGGGGTTTACTGTACCTCGTTTACATTTCTTTGGTAGTGGTGAACTCGCTGCATTTTTACGGCATTGTATAAAAAACTGTGATGGAAAATTAAAATTTTCAAATTGTACCTATTTTGAGAAAAAATTGTACCCAATAAAAGAGGCATATGTACGTAAAAAATTAAATCACGTTCTTATGTATACACGACGATGCCATTAACGATTTTTAAAGCCGCACATCTGCAGAGAAGGTACGTATCGGTTTTGTGCTGACTGTCATTTCCACAACTTAGCGGTAGCCGGCATTTTTGACATTTTCTTATGTTCATATTGGGACTTAATGAAATTTGTGATCTGCATGCCAGTTAATATCTGATTATTAAAGGTATTAATGGTGTTGTGGCAGGGACATTCTTCCAATTTGAGGAATCTCCTTGGTTTTCCCCGACAAATGGGAAGAAACCTTTTCGAGTCGACCGAGGCCCAATTAAGCTTTTTTTGACAAGGCGACTCATTTTCGGCGACTTTTGCAATCTGATGTTGGAGCAAGAATATGATGTTGCAGCGGGATCTGATTCCCTTGGTAAAACCGCTGGGTATTTTGTTGCATAACGGTTTTGAAGCACTGGAACACATCTTAAGTTAAGGCAATGAAAGAAACATAGCGTTCATATTACGCGTAAAAATCCCATAGGGATCTGTCTGCACCTGGGTCGAATAAGTGGTGAAATTTCGCAAAGGAGGCAACTGGCGAGGTTTTTTGGTTTAGGCCGACGAAAAATTAATTAAGTAGTTCTGATAAAAATTAATAAGGTTTGCCGGGAAATAATTTGGTCACGTGGGAAATGCACCCAAATTGGTGGATTTGTACCGTATGTAACGTGAAGTTGAAAAGGGCCAAAAAGGTACAACAGAACATAGTTTTCCATCACTGGTACCAAACTACCAATTAACAAGTAACGAGAATAGAGTGGATTGCCACTTTGAACAACAGCCAGCTGTTAATGCCTTGTCGCAGAAATTTGCATTGACAAATATTAAGGGAATAACAAAAAGTAACAAAATTTTAATTGTGCACTTATGTTAAAGTTAATAATTTGATGATTGATATTTTAGTGGACGATATGAAACGGACCCGGAGGCGGGAAAAACCACAAAAGAAGTGGACAGATGAAGAGAATAAATTATTATTAGACTACCTATTGGAGAATGAAAATATTGAGGTATGTATGTATGTATGTAAGTATTTGGTTGGTATAATTTCCATTGAACAAATATACTTACATACACGCATATATGTGCATCCCCATACATACATATGTAAATAGAGGCCCTCCGCTTACGTATACTACTCGGCGCTACTAAATAAAACAAAAATCGATGCTACTCCCGAGACAACACGTTGCAAGGTGCGGTATATGAAGAAGACACTACTAAAGGCCGAAACGTGGATCAAGGCAAACTCCAATTGTATAGATTTTGATAGCATCGAATTCAAGAGTCAGATATAAGCATAAGTTATCAACAACGACCATAATGATCTAATTTAGTAACACTTTTAGATACGGTGAATAAACTTTGTCCGTACTATGATCGACTTACAAAGATTTTCCCCATCGAAGAACGCAACACCAAAGTTACAACGACTGAAGCTGAACGTTGGTGTGATGAAGATGAGTTGGTCGCAGTGAAGTCCGAGATTCTCGATGGACTTATGGAAACTAATTCTACGTCAGCAGAAGGTGAATGCTCATGGAGTGAAGACATGATGCTGATGGTAAAGCCAGAGATTATTGATATTGTAGAGGAGCCACTTTGCACGGCAGAGGTGGCGGAGCCTGATCCGGAATTCATATCGGCGATGCCAAAAAGAACAAAAAATGACGATCCCCTGTCCAAGGGAGCAAAGTGTGCTAGTGAAAGACCACAAGGAACACATGAGTGCTCATATAAAAATAGTATTAGTGAATTAACAGAATTTTTTAAAAGGAGAAGTGAGTTGTTTGAAAAAAGAATTTGCATAGAGAAGAAGAAGCTGGATCTGGAGATGAAAAGATTAGAATTGGAGGAAGAAAAAATGCGAAAAGACTTCGAAATACGAAAATTAGAGTTGGAGCAAAGAGAAAGGCTGGCAATGCAAGAACTAAAATATAAGTATAATCAGAAATAAAATTTTAATGTACATTGTAGATATCGTTAGTGTAGTATGGAAAGGGCGTAACTCACATTGTCGCTGAAATATCAAAAGCCCTTACTACATGACTGAAAATCCAAAATTCAGTTTTTGATTGATTACGGGAAATATGTACTATCCCTAGTATTTATAACCGACTTCAAAAAGGAGGAGGTTATCAGTTCGTCGTAATATTTTTTATTTATATTTATTTTTTTTATGTTATGGTAATTGGATCGTGAAGAAATTAACGATAATCTTAAATTTTTATATGAGAATTGGAGTCAATTTTGTTTTTTGCTTAAAAATTACTTGTATTTTTATACTATCTAAAGCTCCCAAACAAATTATGAAGACTTTGCTTAAATGTGTTAGGCTTTATTTACAAACAAAAAGTTTTAATTGGCCGTATAGATAAAAGCTTAACAATTGCTTTTTCTTACAATTTCAGACCTTTTACTTAAATTTATATGAATAAATCCAGTAAAAGGTCTGAAATTTTAAGAAAAAAGCAATTGTAAAAACAACAAGCTACCAACAAATTTTCTAATTTTCTTTGTTTTGTCTCTTAAATCATGGAAACAATTCATTCCCATGGAACTGGCGATAAGGCTGAATATAATATTTAATTTATTTAAATTAGACGAGACTTAATTTAAAAACCTATTAAAATTTGGGAACGAGCGAAAATTAATTGGCAGACTCACAATTCGTTTGTAATTCAATATGATATGATAAATAAAATTTAATACAATAAAACAAGTAAATATAAACACAAGAAAAAATGCTTACAATTTTATGGCGGATTCTATAGCGGGCCAAATGCTCGGAAATGATACCGCATGCGAGTGAAATGCGAGATTTAATCCTGCAAAACTCTCGCAAACAAATCGGGGAAATGATAGCAATATCGAGCCCTAACCGCCAAAAAGACGTAAGTGACATTTTCAATTTTATTTTTGAGGCTGAAATACATCTAAGTAGATGCTCTAGGAACTAGAGGTATACGCCGCCGAGCCACGCCGCCGCCGCCGCCGTGTTTTGTCATTTCTCACGCGCCGCCGCTGAGTTACGAAAATATCGGCGCGGCGGCGGCGGCGGCGTACGGCGCCTATGGAATTTTGTATAAAACTTTCATGATGTATGCATATTGAAATACATCGTTTGAAGGAACTAAACGCTACTCGTATAAAAACACTATTTTACATTACATTTTTAAAGGGTTTTTTTTGCATAATTTGAGCCAATGAACTTTTCAAAAAAAAAAAAACAAAACAGCGGTAGCACGTTTTTCAATCGAAAGCGTTTATTACAGTTAAATTAGAGTCGAATACTGGTAATCTGACGATTTTTATCCGCAGTAGACAATTTTTTTCAATACCACAACAATACTACCACTACATATTGTACATATATACTACAGTTCTAACAGAAGCGCCCTTATTGCATCTAACTCCTCAATTATTGGAGATAAAACAAAGACACGTTGATTTTTCTGTGTATTTTTTTTTTAATATTTTAAACACACTTTTAATAAAAAGCAAACACTTTTTTTTTGCTAATTTTTACATTCGTAAGTTATTTTATTCTAGGGTCCCGTAGACGTATACAAGTACTAGGTAGCTGTGTGAAAACTACGTTAGCATTCCTAAGTGGTGGTCAAATTCCAGGAAGGTTTTGCTGCCGCGCATCGCAATGTCTTCTACACAGGGTTAAAGTCCCCCTTTTTGGTAAAAAATACTATAAATTTTCATAACATTCGGTTCTTCTTAGACAAATTTGGCGCTTAATATTTTAGTGGAAATTTTAACCGTCTATAAGCCATTTTTTAAACAGTGGGTCAAAAAGGCCCAAAGTAGACCAAACCATGTTTTCAATACATAACCCACAAAAAATCGTAATAACTCCGTAATTTAACATAACGGTTGATAAGATTATTGCAAAAATTTATTGATAGCGACATATAATTACCCCAATAACTTAACTTTTAAAATTTTTGTATTTATTTCAATTTAAAAAGTACACACGGATTTGTAGAGAACATAGAGATGTATGTACACACTTCAGACTTGCTTCTGTTCGCCAATCCATCAGCGGCAGACACTCGACATTTTAATTCAAGTAGAAAGTAACGTAATTTAAATTTAAAACTAATTCAAGAATGAATTAAATACAATTACAATCTAAATTGACATGGCGAATGCCTAACGCTAGCGAGATGGAATCTACCTCATGGGCAGTAGCGCCGGCGTTTCCAGACGCATTGCCCGTCGGCGTAAATCTCTACTAGGAACATTTCTGCATCAAAAAGAAGATTTTGAAAAAATGTCGCCATTAACCAGTCTGTAAAATCATGAAATGACTTAGTACATATTAATATTTGATTTACTCTTCATCTGATATATTGATTTACACTACAAGAAGCATTCAATGGTTAGATAATCCAAATAAGCAATTGACAGGATGAACAGCAGGCCGGACCACTGAGTCTATGTGCCTTATTTTTGAGTATTTTTAGTTTGGCCGAACGTAGGTTCGCTTTTTTACATTTTTCGTCATATCTTCGGCATTTACAATTGGATCTTAAAGTATGTTATCTCGATGTTTTTGTCTTGAGGATACACTTTTTTCCAAAGTTTAGTTATAATAAGGGTCAGGGGTGTACGGCGAACTTTGGTTTGTTTGCATGCAAGGGGACACGGTTTAATAGATAGTGACGGCACAGCACAGATTTCGGACCGCCTGAACCAGAAACGCTCGCAAAATCTAAGTGACGCTCGAGGCACGTTGAATGGATGTCGGCAACCCCTCCATCTTATATGGCTCGCAACCTATTAAGTGGCGCAGAAGACAGTCATCAGTTGTGTTTAGAGGCAAAACCTTGAAATAAAGATGAATAATCAGAGGCAAGGCAATACGGGTGTGCATTAGGGTGGCCCAAAAAAGTAACGTCGGAATTTTAATGCTCTCACCCCCCGGGTTATTCTACATCGTAAAAAGTATACATCTATTTTTTTTTTTTTGAAATCAAAAAATATTTTGAGGTCACTCAAAGCGCTAAAAGTTTTCCATGTTATGGAATATGGTTAAAAAACAACTTTTCGTAGAAATGGTATAGAATTCTCGAAAGTCAATATTTTTCGATCGGAAACCTCTGGTTCTCTTAAGGATACTTTCAATAATAATACCCAGTTATTTATGTAACCATTTCTTAAAATTAACGATTTTGTATTGGCTCTTGCCATGGCGTTTTTCGGACTTTTGGCGGACCTATAATGTTTCATTTCAAGATAAAAAAATTTGTTATTTTTTTCGGTATAGAAAAATCCTAGGGGGTGAGAGCATACAATTTTCGACTTTTTCGCAGGCATTTTCCATACTTTGTGCAAAACTCTGAAATTTGCCAAAAAATTTATTTTTATTTTTTTGAGTTTGCCGTTCCGTAGTCCATTCAATTCTTGTACGTTAAAGTGCAAGTTTGCCGTACCTAGCTACTTACCGTTGATTTTTTACAATTTCAATCAAAGTATTTTCGGAAATTTATTGAATTTTTTCAAGTTTTGCATAGAGTTCGAAAATTTTACTTTTATGTTTTATGTTGTAGTATGAACTATATTTTATAGAAAAAATTAAAAACAAAATTTTTACATAAGTTGTGAAAAATTCTCTGTGCCTATACCTTTTCCCGTGACTGTATGTATGTCAAATTTTGAGTTCCTTCAGCGATTAATCTTCGAATGATAAAATCTTTATTTTTATTTTTTTTTTGTGAAATTTACTATATTTATTTTTTATTCTTCTGTTTTTACTAAACTATAAATTAAGTACATATCAAGTGTATGAATGCGATTTTTAATCTTTACACATATACATACATGTATAGATAGGTATACATAATTTATAACTGCTTCAATGAATGACTTTGTAGTTTATATGTATGTACTTGGTTTTTACTCAAAAAGTACTGAATTGCGCTAGATCTACATATGTAGGTATGTAAGTAAGTATGAATGTATGTATGTATGTATGTATATTTTTGCATTAGACAAATTCGCAAATTTTCTTATGGTTTGTAGGTTTGGTACTTTCGTATGATTAGCTGTATGTATGGATGTGTGGGTGTGTATAAAACCTGTAAGCATGATGTTTACCTAATATTAGCTAATTTTATAGTTTCAAATTAACAATTTATACCAACATATGTACATATGTATGTATGTATAACGCTCGTATTTTTTTCCGGACAAAAAACTGTATATTACTGCGAAAAAAATTTGTTTCGCAGTGTCCATCAAAAAAAAAAAATAAATTTTTTACAGTACAGTACACTCTAAGCTAGCGAAATTTATTATAGATTTATACCACCTCTGTGTATTAAAAAATTTATGTGGCAAAAAAGTATTTTTTCATATCAATATAGTATTTTTGGGAAATAGCCGCAGTATCCATATTTTGAATCTAATAAAAGTATTATAATCAAACATAAGTATAGATACGAGCGCCTATGCACATATGTGTACATATATATTAAATGAATATACATATGTATTTAATGAATGTACATATTTATGTATATGTACTATATATACCATCCTAGTTCACATAAGTACGACTTTACATAATTTATGTTTTGAAACATTTATAAAAAAATAAAATCATTAGATACTAATTCTGTTCTTTTAAGCAAACCGCTTTCATTATTTATGCCTCTAAATTACACTGTGCTACCCAATACATTTTTTTGTATATCCTTTCTTTTAATCTTATACAATCTTTGTGTACTACTATATAAATTATAAAGGTATTTATTTAGTTAATTTTCTATACATATGCATACATATACATTGTATTTATGTGTATGTATATAGCGAACTTGTTTTTTTGTTTTTGTTTTTGTTTTTGTTTTTACCACACACTACACTTTTCCACAGGATTCATCGGCGCGCCGAGTTTGCATTTATATGCCTCGGCAAAGTCTTTTGAGTTGGAAAGTGGCGCAAGTACACGTATGAAACCGGGTGAGTGCACCGAAGAGCGTATTTTGGTGACCGCATCCTCGGGCCGCATTGAACCGCACCAAATTTGTGCGTAATTTAAGAAGAATAGTTGATCGTGTGTTAGATTGAGACCGGGTAAAACCGGTTCAGGTCCATGCCGCTTTACCCATTTCTTGTAGGCCTACGTAACGCAACGGGCAAACTGTTTAATTCAAATTCAGAAGAT